GCATTCCCCTTAAGATTCAGATGAAAATCCAGTTGTAGAATTCTGCTGTTCTCGCAGTCGTAGTCGCATTCGCGATGACAATCGCAGCGGCAACGGCAGTCGCAGTCACAGCCTCAGCCTCAGCCTGCCTCAGCCTCAGCCTCAGCCTGCCTCAGCCTCAGCCTGCCTCAGCCTCAGCCTCAGCCTGCTTCAGCCTCAGCCTCAGTCTGCCTTCAGCCTCGGCCTCAGCCTCAGCCTGCCTCAGCCTCAGCCTGCATCAGCCTCAGCCTCAGCCTCAGCCTGCCTCAGCATCAGCCTGCTCAGCCTCAGCCTCAGCCTGCCTCAGCCTCAGCCTCAGTCTGCTTCAGCCTCAGCCTCAGTCTGCCTTCAGCCTCGGCCTCAGCCTCAGCCTGCCTCAGCCTCAGCCTGCCTCGGCCGCAGCATCAGCCTGCCTCAGCATTCAAAATGTGGCCCAGGAATAAAGTTCTGGGAACTAGAAGAACACGAAGTGGCCTACAGTTGGCTCCGGGCATTCAAAATCATGCCCAGGAATGGAGTTCTGGGAACTTGAAGAGCACGAAGTGGCCTACAGTTGGCTCCGGACATCCAAAATGTGGCCCGGGAATGGAGTTCTGGGAAATCGAAGAGCACGAAGTGGCCTACAGCTGGCTCCGGGCATCCAAAATGTGGACCGGGAATGGAGTTCTGGGAAGTCGAAGAGCACGAAGTGGCCTACAGCTGGCTCCGGGCATCCAAAATGTGGCCCGGGAATTGAATTCTGGGAGCACCAAGAGCGATTTTGCAAAGATGTCCAAAGCGATTTCGGCTTCGGCGGCAGCCTCCCGGCAGCCTCCCCGGGTCCCGCCCAGACCCCCCTGAGGAGTCATGATGCTCTCTTTTGAGGCCACTAGAAACCTATCAGCAAGAGCTGTTAGGCAATAAAAAACCTCGGCTGAAGGCTGGCTGCGAGATGTCTCCACTTCCCGCACCCAATTCCAGCATTTCAACCTGGTTACGACGTCCATGGCACAAGGTGGGGATCATGGAGAATACATCTGCGCAGGATTCAACGGGTGGCCACGCAGGCAATGTGGGGAAAGTTCCCTCTTCATCGTCACTGCCCGTGTCGGGGTCAAGAAGTACATCATTGTAGTACGCACTACATTCGAGTCCTGTCAGGTCATCTCCGCAGTCATCGTCGCCTTGCCTGATTCGACTATCTCGGGTGTCTTGCGTGGTTTGATACATGCTTCTTTGTCTGCTTTCTGTTTTCCTTTTTGCTTGATTCTGGCATCGGTTGGTAGCGCTGTCTGTTGTTCAGTCTCAGGCGACCTGCATGTCGGACAATTTTTTCATTTCATTTCATACGCTGGCGGAGCCACTCGCCTCGAGCGTGGACGTGAGCTCCCGTGTCCGAGGGGGGCCGGTTCCCAGTACAGTCGAGCACGGCTGTGGGTGACATCATCTGGTAATGGTGCGTTGTCGTTGTACCCGAAAGACTGGCCCTGGATCTTGCTGTCTTGTCTGATCGTGTTGTCGTCCAGGTTCATCGTTACCCGTCTGACAACATGGTCCCAGTCAGGGCCATTCTTAGGAAACTGGACGTAGGTCGAATCCCTTTTACGCACTTGAATGTGGATACTAAGATGTACCGCACTCGCGCAATCTCTCGGCGTCTCCTGTACAACCATCTGATCGATCAACCTTGCGGTCATGATCGCTAGCGTCTTGTTGCGCCACTCAGCCCTCTGAGCTCCTTGTCCATACCCATCCAGGACATGCTCAGTAGGTTGTGCAGGTTGCCCTGCTGTTTTGCACGTGCATCGCCATAAGTGGGTCGGGATGCGCGTACAGGTAGTTACCTTGTGCAGATATGATCCGCTGGGCAACGTATTAAGACGGTCGTAATTGAGGCCGACGGAGCAGAATTGCATACACAGGACCTGTACATCAAAAAACTTCCAGAGCGTCTCGTAAAGAACCGTGTTTCCAGAAACATCCTGGTGGTCCCACAAACACAATACTCAGACGTCGAGCCCGAGCCTTGGTCATCAAGTTCTGGCTGCGTTAATAATGTGGTCCTGCCCGCGGGCCGGCAGTCTCACATACCAGTCGGCAGGCGTAGCCACCCTCAGCATTTGGTAGTACCCCGAGAGTAGAACACACAAATATTGCGCACAAATGAGGGTCATGACCTATGTATGTGCAAGGCGGTCACACATGTAGCCACGGGCGTGGAGTTCAGCGCAAGCTGTCCGTATGTCCGCGAGAACAACGGCACGAGAGTGATAATGATGCGAAAAGCTTCTTGTTTTTCTCAGCGAAGGCACAGCCGGGTCCACTGCTATCATTTCGTTTCATTTCATTTCATACGCAGCGACAGCGTCGGGCCGGCCGCGCACACTAGGCGCGCGCCCGGGCCATCAGCCCCCGCAGCGCGGGCGACCTACCTCTCCGCGGAGGGGGGGCGGCAGGCGCGCCCGCGCGGGCCGCCTCCCGTATGGAAGGGGTCTTTCACTCCCCTTGTGGAGGCGGCCCGAGAGCACCATCGTCTTGGCGAGTCGTGGCAAGCAAAGTCGTCATCTCCGGGGCAAGTCATGGCACGCCGTGGCAGATAAGGTCATCATCAGAATCATCGTCAACACCCCTTCCCCGCACACAAAGCCGCACGGCGTCGCACGAGTCATCGGAGCAAGTCAGGGCAGGTCGCGGCAAACAGAATTGCTATCGCTACTTACCTCCACCCCCCCCACCTCTCGCACACCTAGCCGCCAGACGCAGGGCGGACAAAGCGCGCCGCACCGCCCGCGCAAACCGGGGGACACACGGGGGCCTCCCACGACCACAAGAGCTGCGGGGGCCGCATCACCACCGCGAGGCAGACCAGTGGCGCGCGCGAGGGAGCAGCATCACCACAGAGAAGCAGGACAAAGGCACGCACCGGCACCGGCGACGCCGACGAGGACAGGTGGTCGCATTACCACGGCGGCACACGGCGCGACGGCACCACCCCGCGTCGGTGAAGCACGATTACCTTCGGAAGCCCCGCGGCGTGGACACTGGTGCCACCACTTTCGGAACTGCCCGCTGAACGACCAATTACGTGGAACCCCCACGTCCGCCTACCCCTCAGCACGTCTGCTTCGCCTCGAAACCCCACGGAGAGCACAGAACAGCCAAGACACACGAGCATGAACAAGGCAAGTAGACATGTTCTATCAGACGATGCCCCCTACCCGTGCTAGGCCCGGCACTGGTCGACAGCCCCTCCAAAGAGCGCTCACGGCACTGCGACGATTCCGACGAACCAGTAGGCGCGAAGCCTTGCACGCAACATGTGGACGGACGAGGCTACATCCACACAGGGTAGCAACATTTTTGCAGACAGCGCGCGCAGGCAGGGGACCGCATCACCACTGCGAGGCGGGACCTGCGCACGCACGCTCTGTGACAGCCTTTTCTGCACATGAGGCCGCAACACGACGGCGACGCCGACGCCGACACTACGCCGACGACGACGACGACGACGACGACGACGACGACGACGACGACGACGACGACGACGACGACGACGACGACGACGACGACGACGACGACGACGACGACGACAACGACGACATCAATCGGCGGCCTTCAACGGACGGGGCCCCCTAATTACCAGGGCAGCGCCACGCACTAGACGACAGCCCCCCCCCAGCGAGAGCGGCCAGACCCATGCTGCAATGAACAATACAAGACGAAGGCCCATGGTGCACGACATGTGGACAACGGGGCCGTCTCATCACTGCGAGGCAGGATTCTCGTTGACAGCGCGCGCAGGGAGGGAGCCGCATCGCGACTGTGAGGCTGGTAAGCACGCACGCTGCGTGCATGGAGGGGGCCGCATCGCCACTGCGAGGCAGGACGCGCACACGCACGCACGGCTTCGGACTCTTGCGCGCTCGAGGCCGCAAAGGGGAGACCACGACGGCGACGACGACGCGCCGTCGACATGGGGTCGGGTCGCTACCGTGAGGCGGGAGGGGAAGCGTGAAAGAAAAACAAAGCACGCATACACGTGCACTGCGAACTATCGCCTGAGGCAGCGCAGCGGCGCGGAGGGCGAACGCAACGCCGCCGGCGCCGCCCTGAGAACAAGCGCGAGCGCTGCCGAGAGAGGCGGCGGCGGCGGCGGCGGCGGCGGCGGCGGCGGCGGCCAGCGGCGGCAGACCCGGCGGCGCGGCGAAAGCCGAACGAGGCCTGCGGCGAGGCGCAGCGCCGCCGCAGGTCCGTTCAAGGGAAGAGCGGGGAGGATTCAGCCCTCCAACGCCACAACCCTCTGCCCAGCGACCTGCGGTGGCGGGCGCGGCAGCCAGCGGCGGCAGGCCCGACGCCGAGGCGCGGCGGCCGGCGGCCGACTGGCGGCAGGCGGCGACGGGCCAGGCGCCGCGGCGAAGCGCAGCCGCCAGCGGCGGCGCGGCCGCGCGGTGGGCGAAAGCAGCGCCGCCAGCCCCGCCCCGAGGCCGGGCGCGAACGCTGCTGAGAGCGGCGGCGGCGGCGCTGGCCGGCGGCGGCGGCGACAGGCCCGGCGGCGCGGCGCCGCGACGAGCGGCCGGCCGGCGACTGGCGGCGACGGGCCGGCCAAACCCGCCCGGGCGCTCCGGGTGCACCGTGGGGCCAGCGACAGCTGAGCGGGCGGCCCCAGGCCGCGGGAACGGCCCGCCCGCGGCGGCAAGGCGGCTAGCTGTCGGGAGGTTAGGGGTTGCCGCGGCTTCGGCCAAGAACCCCCCGTTCTTTTGTGGCGCGCCCCTGCCCCGTACTCACCGCGAGCGCGCGGAGGGTCCGCACTGGCCGCAAGGGGACGCGGCAGCCTGGGGGCAAGGAAGGGGGCCGGGACCTGACCGCCACACCGCTTTGGATGTCGTCCGCAGAGGGCGGCGGCAGAGCGAAGGAGGGCAGCAGCACAGCCGTGCTGGCCACTGTCCCTGGCGCGCACAGCCGGCGCCTGGGAAAAGGTGCGAGCTTGGAAGCTCCTGGTTCTCATGGGTGGCATGCTGCTGCGACGGACCACGAGCACTGGGGCGCCAGGGCGGCGAGAGCTCGAAGCGCGACTGGAGCAGTTCGAGGACGGCTCCTGGGAAGCGCTGCTGGCCCCAAGCCTGCAAGGACAGCGGCCCCCGGGAGGAGCGCACGGCGCGGGCGACGCCGAGGCGAGGCGCCAGCGCCTCCTGGAAGACGCGGTAGCGCTGGTCAGAGCAGACGGCCTCAGCAAGGCGCGGCAGCTGCTCGCCTCGCGCAGGCTGGCGCCGGGTACGGCGGAGACTTTGGCAGAACTGCGGGACCCCGCCCGACCGCCGAGGCCCGCCGCCGACTTGCCGCCAGCCGCCCGAGCCTCCCAGCCGGCTCGGCCTGTCGAGCTCGATCGCCGCATCTGGACCGGCCCCGAAAGGGTATTCCAGCTCGCTGAGCGGAGCCCGCTTTGAACTGCTCAAGCTGGCCTTGGACGAAAACGAGACGCTCGAGCTACAAGCTGCCGTAGCGGAGCGCTACGCGCGGGCCGAGATCACAGCGAGCGCTGCACGCGCCCTGGGCACAGGCCGCCTGACGGCGCTGCTGAAGGACAACGGCCGCGCGCGAGGCATTGTTGCAGGCGACGCCTTCCGCTGCAAGGCCCTCTCCCGGCAGTATGGGTCCGAGATAAACAACGCCTGCGCGCCGTTCCAGCACGCGCTTTCGACGAGAGCGGGCACAGACAGCGCCGCCCACTTCCTCCGAGCGGCCACGGACTCCGACCCGGCGGCGACCATCGCCAGTATCGACGGCACTGGAGCCTTCGACCACGTGCGCCGCGACCGCATGATCGAGAAGCTCCTCCCGCTGCCGGAGGCCTCTGCCATGGTCCCATTCGCCCTGCTCTCCTACAGCCAGCCGTCGACGTACCTTTGGACAACCCCCAGGCAGCCGCGTCCCCTTGCGGCCAGTGCGGACCCCCCGCGCGCCCACGGTGCACAGGTGGAGCGGCATGTTGGCGTACGCCATCCGCGACGCCCTGGCCGCGAGCCAGCTCGAGGACGTGCCCCCTGAGACGCTCGCGACAACACGGGGAGAATCCGTGGCGAGGGGACGTTCTGTCGGCGCTCCCCTGAGAGCACCGGCCCCCGCGCGGGGGCGCGCACGGGCAGGGCGGGGCACAGCGCCGACAGCAGAGCTACTGCGAACAGCACCACAACCACCGCCACCACCACCAGCACAACTACTAACAGCACCTCCACCAGCACGACGACGACCACGACGACCAGGAGGAGGAGAAGGACCACCACGACCAGCACCACCACGGCCAGCACCACCACAGCGACCAGCACCACGGAGACAAGCCCCACCACGGCGACCTGCACCACGAGAACGCGCCACCACGGCGACCAGCACCACCACGCCCAGCACCACCACGACCAGGAGGACCACCACCAACACGACCACCACCACCACGACCAGCGCGACCACGGCCAGGAGGACCACCACGACCACCACCACGACCATGGCCAGCACGACCGCTGCCAGCACGACCAGCACCACCACCACCACGACCAGCACGACCACGGCCAGAGGACCCCCACGACGACCACCACCACCAAGACCAGCACCACCACGACCACGGCCGGCACCACCACAGCGACTGGCACCACCACGGCGGCCAGCACCACCACGACCAGCACCACCACGACCAGGAGGACCACCACGGCGACCAGCGCCACCACGGCGACCAGCACCACCACGGCGACCAGCACCACCACGACCAGCACCACCACGGCGACCGGCACAACCACAGCGACCAGCACCACCACGACCAGCACCACCACGACCAGGAGGACGACCACGACGAGCACCACCACGGCGACCATCACCACCACCACGACCAGCACCGCGACTACGCACCACCACGGCGACCAGCACCACCACGAGCAGCACCACCACGGCCAGGAGGACCAGCACGACCAGCACCAACACGGCGACCACCACCACGACAAGCGCGACCACGGCCAGGAGGAGCACCACGACCACCACCACGACCAGCACCACAACGACCACGACCACCACGACCACGGCCAGCACGACCAGCACCACCACCACCACGACCAGCACGACCACGGCCAGAGGACCACCACGACCAGCACCACCACGACCAGCACCACCACGCCCACGGCCAGCACCACCACGGCGACCAGCACCACCACGGCGACAAGCACCACCACGACCAGCCACCACCAGGAGGACCACGGCGACCAGCACCACCACGGCGACCAGCAGCACCACCACGACTACCACGACCAGCACCACCACGGCGACCAGCACCACCAGACCAGCACCACCACGGCGACCAGCACCACGACCGCGCACCACCACAGCGACCAGCACCACCACCAGCGCCACCACGACCAGGAGGAGCCACCACGACCAGCACCACGACCAGCACCACCACGGCGACCACCACCACGACCAGCGCGACCACGGCCAGGAGGACCACCGCGACCACCACGACCGGCACCACCACGACCACGGCCAGCACGACCACGGCCAGCACGACCAGCACCACCACCACCACCACGACCAGCACGACCACGGCCAGAGGACCACCACCACCACCACCACCACGACCAGCACCACCGCGCCCACGGCCAGCACCACCACGGCGACCAGCACCACCACAGCGACCAGCACCACCACGACCAGCACCTCGACCAGGAGGACCACCACGACCAGCACCACCACGGCGACCAGCACCACCACGGCGACCAGCACCACCACGGCGACCAGCACCACCAGAGCGACCAGCACCACCACAGCGACCAGCACCACCACGACCAGCACCACCACGACCAGGAGGACCACCACGACCAGCACCACTACGGCGACCAGCACCACCACGGCGACCAGCACCACTACGACCAGCACCACCACGGCGACCAGCACCACCAGGACCAGGGGCAGCACGGCGACTAGCAGCACCACGACAGCAGCCAGCAGCACAGAGGAGGAGGAGGAGGCGGCGGCGGCGGCGGCGGAGGCGACGGAGGAGACGCTGGCGCTGGCCCGAGGCAGCGCGGCGGCGCGGAGGGCGAACGCACCGCCGCCGGCGCCGCCCCGAGGACAGGCGCGAACGCTGCCGAAGGAGGCGGCGGCGGCGGCCAGCGGCGGCAGACCCCGCGGCGCGGCGCAGGCGGGGCGCGGCCGGCGGCGAGGCGCAGCGCCGCCGCAGGTTCGTTCACGGGCAGAGGGGGGAGGATTCAGCCCTCCTAAGCCACAACCCTCTGCCCAGCGACCTGCGGCGGCGGGCGCGGCGACCAGCGGCGGCAGGACCGGCGGCGAGGCGCGGCGGCCTGCGGCCGACCTGCGGCAGGCGGCGACGGGCCAGGCGCCGCGGCGAAGCGCGGCGGCCGGCGGCGGCGCGGCCGCGCGGAGGCCGAAAGCTGCGCCGCCAGCGCCGCCCCGAGGGCGGCGGCGGCAGCACCGGCTGGCGGCAGCATGCCCGGCGGCGCGGCGCTGCGACGAGCGGCCGACCGGCGACTGGCGGCGACGGGCCGAGCGCCGCGGCACCAGGCGCAGGCTGGCGGCGGCGGCTGGCGGCGGCTGGCCGAGGGCGCCCCGGGCGTTCCCGGCGCGCCGAGGGGCTGGGGTGGGGGCAGCTGAGCGGGAGGCCCCCGGCGGCGGGAACGGCCCGCCCACGGCGGCAAGGCGGCTAGCTGGCGGGAGGTTCGGGGTTGCCCTGGCTTCGGCCGAAAACCCCCGCTCCTGCGCGGGGGGTCCGCACTGGCGGCTGGCAGTTCCACGAGCGTGCCGCACGCAACCCCCACTACGGGGACAACATAGGCAGGCCCAGCCTCACCAGCGCCGACCAGGCCAGGCGAAGGTCAGCCCCAGGACAGAAGGCCGCCTACTGGCTGCACACCCTACCCACACCGAGGGGCACGAGTTCAAGCCCGCACGGTTCCTGGCAGCCTTTCGCTGGCGCCTCCGCCTCCCGCTGCCGCTCCTCCCGCACACGTGCGGGGCTGCCAGTCGCCCAGGCTGCCGGGCCCGGCTGGACCCACTGAGAGAACACCTGGCTGCGTGCCCACGCCCTGGGCCTCTCGCCCGAGCTTGGGCGACGGCCGCCAGGGAAGCAGGAGGGAGGGTTGTCCCCCAACAGCGGCTGCGAGACACGAGCACCGTTGTCCACAATCCGCTGGACCGCAGACAACTAGACCGCATCGTCTACGGCATCTCGCCGAACGACCTCCCGGCGTGCTGCGACAGCACCATGCTGCCCCCCCCTCCGCAGGGACGGCCGGCACCGGCCGCGCACCTTCGACACCGACGGCGCCGCGCTACTGGTAGCCAAGCGGCGCAAACGACGCAGGTACCACGAACTTACGAAAGGCCAATTAGGCCGCCTCCTGGTCCTCTCCGGCTATGTCCGCGGCAGGTGGGGCTGCGACTCCCTCTATAGTTGACACGCTTGCTTGCCAAGCAAGAAGGCGCAGGGCGCCGGCCCTCCGCCGCTCCGCGGAGCTCGCGTACACCAACCGCTAAGGTGGGGATTCCTTTGCGTGCGGCCCAGGACGCGCTCATGGCCACCCTGACGGGCGACGGCGACCTAGCCTCAAGGGGAGCCGCCGGGGAGGACGACCCAGACCTGGTCGGGAGCTGCTCGCAGACTCCGCCAGCCCACCCGCTAGACGTTTACCAGCACGCCCCTGATGCTCGGCACCCCGGCCAGCACGGCCGCCTTGGGGGGCTCCGACGAGCGCCGGGAGCACCCCCGACACGACAGCGGGCACCCCGAGAAGACCAGCAGAACCACCACCACAACGGCGACCAGCAGCACCACCGCCACGACTGCGACTAGCAGCAAAACCACCACCGGCACCACCACCACGACTGCGACCCGCAGCACCACCACGACCACGACCAGCAGCACCACGACAGCGACCCAGTCGCAGTCGTGATGGTGCTGCGGGTGCCAGTCATGGTGGCGCTGCTAGTCGCAGCCGTGGTGATGCTGCTGGTCGCCTGTCGTGGCGTTGCTGGTCGCAGTCGTGGTGCTGCTGGTCGTGGTCGTGGTGGTGCTGTGGGTCGTAGTCGTGGTGCTGCTGGTCGTGGTCGTGGCGGTGCTGTGGGTCGTAGTCGTGGTGCTGCTGGTCGCAGTCGTGGTGCAGCTGCTGGTCGTTGTCGTGGTGATGGCGTCGCCGGTCGGAGTCGTGGCGCTGCTGGTCGCAATCGCGGCGCTGCTGGAGGAGAAGGAGGAGGAGGAGGAGGAGGAGGAGGAGGAGGAGGAGGAGGAGGAGCCACCGCGACTGCGACCAGCAGCAACGCGACGGCGACCAACAGCAACGTGGCAAATACGACCCGTATCGCCACCAGCAGCAACGCCACGACGACAACAACCAGCAGCACCACCACCCCGACTGCCACCACCGCCAGCAGCACTACGACCGCGACCAACCGCACCACTACGCCCCAGTGCCACGACGGAGACCAACAGGTCCACCACCAGCAGCAGCGCTGCGACGGCGACCAACGGGAGGACGCGGAGGAGGAGGAGGAGGCACAGAAGAAGGCGGAGGCGCCGAAGGAGGACGAGGACAAGGGGGCGGAAGCGACGCCGCAGGAGCATGGGCGGCGCAAGCGGGCCAGAAGAGAAGCAGGAGGGCCAGGACCGCGCCGCAAGAGGAGGAGGCAGGCAGCGCGGGGACCCAGCCGCCCTTCCCCTAATTAGGAGGGGTTCGGGGAAGCGCGCTAGCGCGGGCCCCGACTGAGGGTGGGGCTTGAACGCCCGCGACTCTCGGGGCGGCTGGGGGCCGCGCCAGAGGCCAGAAGAGGCGCCCAGGGAGCCGAAGAGGAGGGGCGCAGGCCCGCGCCCGCCGGGCACCCGCCTGAGGCGACGAGCGGGGGCCCGCACGACGCGGGGCGGGCCCCCGCGCCCGCCGCGCGCGCAGGGAGAGAGAGAAAGAGAGAGAGAGACAACCAAAACATCATAATAATAATTATAAATAAATAAATGAATGAATGAATAAATAAATAGATAAATAGATAAATAAATAAATAAATAA